CGGTGCTTGGAAAGCGCAGTACTTGTTCGAGCCCCATCAGTGTATTAATCCCACAAAGGCGAAAACGGGATCGAGTATATTAATATGTGTTATCGTAATTTCAATCATTCACAGAGTCGAAGTGATTTCACTCACATGTGAATTGGAAGTTGTTCAAACTGCTCATATTGCTGAGATGCATTCAGTTTAAATACGCTTTTCACCCTGAGTCGACTTTTCAGTTCGCTGTCTGGTCTGTGACAAGAGAAGTTGTCGTCTCATCTACGAATATGGGCCACGACGGACATATTATCATCTACATGTCGGACCACAATTGTTTAATCAGGAAAAAAGGGATCAGGGACTTGGTTGGAGTACATGACTTCTCGACAATTTCAATACCAAAAACGGAAGAATGGCATGTTCAGGGCGAGAACAATGGAATGGTGTATCAGGTTCATCAAGATAAGCTTATCAATGATGTATCCACAGGGAAAAGAGTATTCTACACGTATGAGACAGCTCGTTCCCGAACACGACCGCGAACCATGAACACGGTATGCCAGAGCGATCAATATTTGGGCAAAATCAGTATAAAAGTTGTAGTAAGGAATGTCAGAGAACTTTCACGCCGTCTGGGATTGAAGTGGTAGTAGTAGTTTTAACAATATATATGTATACTTATGAAGCTTGATTGTAGCAGGAACGAATTTACCCAGGCAAGCGCTGTGATGAAAACAACGAAAGCTCCTAAAAGTGCGATTAGGCCACGACAGAATCCCTACTCCCGCTTGAAGTGGAATCGCTTTCTTTTGCGTCTCGCTTCCTTTTCCGTACACTCACAAACGAATCGTCAGAAGTTTTGAAAATCTAAGTATGCATGCGGACAACGTTTAATAATGGAAACCGCAAGGTGTTTGCTTCAAAAAACTGAAGTCAAAATTCCAAAAACTCCGAAAACAAAAAATAACGCTAATAACAAAATAGAACAAAATAAAACTGAAAAAATGCGCAGTCGTTGCAACCATTGAGAGCCAGAGCCTGGGAAAACCTACACAAATATGCCATGAGCTCGTGTTTTAGGAGATAATATTTCCTAGAAGGAATAACGTAGCATCAAACACACGTGCTTCCGTTTAGGAGAAACCGACACCGAACTTCTCTGCCGTGGCTCCTGCCACAACGACACGTCATTTGGGAATCGGAGTATTATCACCATGTCAATTTCATCAGGCTTCGTATTTTTCTTACTTTTCCATATCTTGGGGTTTGGCAGCACGTTAATGGCTACTTTCCCTTTTTGAAGGTTCAGAGGCAAAGGGCGCACCATCACCTACGCATGGCCCGAGGATCGAATCTCGCACAGAACTCGCCCCTCGCCCAGATCAACTAAGTCTCCCTTCTTGGCGCGGCCAAATGGTACCAGACTTGTCTGGAGGGATAAAACACTGATTCAGCCACTAGGAAATACCGGCTGATAGACATTCAGTGACTGAGTAAAGACAATGTAAAAAAGTGGCGGACCACCGCGTCCACTAAACGATGATGGCTAACCGTGAAGGTAAACTCAAAAGACTAAAGACAAATCAGGGGAACATAGAATATATGTACGGAATAAAAATATAGAAGGTTCACAAAGGCTGATCCAGTTTCTGGGGTGTGTCAAAGTCCAGGCCTACGTACAGAATCCCAGGGCGCTTGATGAGTCTTTTTCCTATCCAAAAAATAATGGGATTACGTCGATGTACAAGTGAATACCCACAACTTTTCAGACGAGTAGGCTATCAGTTAAACGGAGTGACTTGGCAAAGCGCGTGTCGGTCCAGGATTGATCACACTCGGACTATGGGTGCGCCACTTGCCGCGATCCCATCCCCATTAGTGAGAATGAGAAACGTATTCAATGTTTTTCCTTCTTTTCAGATATCGGAAGCGAGTTAGTGAGAGCAAGAAAAGGCTGGCTTATCTGGATGATATTCGTCGGCTTCTTCTGCGGATCCCTCACAGCTTTACTCCTTGCCGCGCTTATTCTCTACATCAATCGCCGAGCCGTTTACGCAGAATGGTGGGGAGGCTAGATGTAACGGCCATTTGATTTCTACCGTACCACCTGATGTCCTGTGTTGAATCATCAACCTTTTCGAGCTTAAGCCTATGACTGCGCTATTCATCCCAGCACGTCATTTAACTCTTGACCTTACTCCTCTTTCGAGAAACACATAGCGCATCATTCCTTTCATTGCCTCTTTGAGAATGTCTTGTGCAGTTACCGGTGGCCGCACAGGAGTTCGTTCGATGCTCTCGTGGGTACAGTTGCTAAAGTTACGATACTTAACATCATTCTGACCGATGTAATGTGCTGATTATTTTCGAGTTTGATTATTTACATAACCCTCCACGTGAAGGGCCGGGGGTACTTCTACCCGAAAGCCGCGTCACGCTCACCGCACCCGTTCGCGCGCAGTGACGCGCCTTGAAGGGGAAGGCTTCAATTTCCAGTAGAAAGATAAGGCAGCCGCCGCGTAATCACTGCCGTTTACCGTGGAAAATCGGGAAGAGGTACTGTCACCTCACGTAAGATACCGTAGCCCGAGTAGTCAGAAGGTACTATCATTAGGTAAGCCCACCAGAAACTTAGACCATACCGGTATTGCAAAAAGACTTACAACCCGTCGGAATCATCAAAGAGAGATCATCGACAGGGCTGACCATTCAGGTACCGTGGTATGCACAAACGTTATGGTGTCGATCCTTCGGGTATGTCCGGTGGAATCACAGGAAGTATGTTTGGTTTCACAACATCAAGAGGTATGCTCGCTTTAGGACGGATTTCAACGAATTTCAGAACATGCGCCAGTCTAACGATATTGCTTTTTAGTTGCTCCGTCCTCTACCATCGGACCTACAACGAAGGGAGATACCACTGGATCGACAAAGCACTGGGATAAAGGAAAGGGTACCTACACCTATGACCCTTCGCATGGCAGTTCTTCTAGAGATAGCAGTCATAGTAGTGCTGCTTCTCATAGCCGTTCTTCCAAACGTCGACAATCGTCAAGATCATCGAAGTCGAGGGGCTCGGCTTTCGATAGCAATGTGGTTAACTTGTAGTATATCTTCAAATAAATTATTGAACATGTTGTTGTAATCTTTTCAGAAACTATGAAGGGATGGTAGCAACGTCTCGAAAAGCTGTTTGATGACGGCATTAGTGTGGTGCAGTCCTCCCACTAGGTCAGACTCTCTACCCAGCGTTCCCACAACTGTCATACTTCCTTCCTTGATCTCCTCTAGAAGAACTGCCGATCTCGCGGTCTGACAGCTAAAGAAGGAATTGACCGTGATTGCTGAGAGAACGAATGGACCGTGATTGCTGAGAGAACGAATGCGGAGTGAAAGTTAAAATTTCAAAGGCCTCTTTCGTTATTGGACAACATAAGGCTCGGAAGACCTTACTCCCCAGACCTACTATAACTCTATCCAAACAGGCATTCTGGCAAAATGAAGAAGAGAGAATCAGATCTGGCAAAGAAGAAGAATAAAAACGTATGAACGCATTTTTTAGTGCGCGGCCTGGGCCATTTTCACTTAGGCTATTTGATTAGTATTCTGATTTACGATCTTCTGCCAGCTCGCGTTTGCCCTATGCCATCAACCCAACAAAAGGCTACATTCATACTCATTGGCTAGCGTGCGATGAGCGCCGGGGTTGGCGTTTGCGTCTGCTTTGGCCGGAGTGTAGTGCAGTTGAATCGAAATCGTCGCTTTGCAGCGCGGGCGACGTCGCGCGCGAAACAATGCAGAAGAGACGTCGCGCGCGAAGCAATGCAGCAGAATGAAGCAGAAGCATCGAAGAGAGTAAGAAATATAGGAACAAAAAAGTAGCAGTAGAATGCGAGATATACTAATCGCATCTCGATCGAGCTGTATAAGGAACATTAGAATTACAATAAAGAGGCAACTGGCCGGCGACTGCCGCGTGCGGCGAATCGATCACACAAAACCGATTCAGCGGCCGGCTCCCTTTGGTCGATACATAATACTCTTAATAATACTGCTCATGCAAGAACTCAACGTCACTGAAAGGTTCAGACTGCCTACTATGTTTCGCTACAACCACTACAATATGAACTAACAAGCAATTCTTGTAGAACCTGTAGTCAGCTGACGTATGGAAAGTAGCAAAGTAGAAGGACATATTTGAAGGTATGAAACATTCGCGCAAAGGAATTTTGATCAGTTGCCTTATCAATAAATGCCGACGCCTATGGCCTGTCGCTCGCTGGCCAACGCGGAGTATGAATGAAGTTTGAGACGGAGGAAACATCAGAAAGAGCCACAGACAGCATCGTATAACTACAAAAGTTGCCAGTTTCCGTGCAGCAGTCACTACCTATTTCTACAGTAACTACATTGTAATTATTTCACATGAGCTGCACTGTAAAGAAACGGTGACGGTGTAGTTTCGCTCAGTACATTTGTCACCATCGCGATGCAGTTTTCTTAATCCTACGACAAACGAAGATCGTTTGTAAATATTACGACAAGTATGACCTTCCAGTGGAAAGAGAGGGAATAGAAAAACAGAGGAGATTTCAAGTGTCGGTTTTTGTAATGAAGTCACTCATACCAACCTGATCCGGGAGACCATTGTTCAGATATCCATCCGGAATATGGCCCATGTGGAAATAAGTTATCTCAAAAACTATACAAAGCTGTTCCGTGCTCCTAGAGCAACCTGCAATATAACAATATCATAGGGTATTCTCTACAGTTTTCAAGAACGAGATACGGTAATTACAGACAAACCCCAAGCGAAAATTGAGAGTAAAGAAGAACGCCTACGAATAAAATGGGTAGAACATTGAGATGCTTAGAAACTCCAGTGGCATCAAAGAGTTCCCATGCTGGCTTTGCTGCTAGCATGCTATACAGAGTTGGTAAGAGGGTAAACCGTATCTTAAGCATGTGGAGGTACTACCAGCACACCCCATAGGAAGAAGTTATAAGAAAAACAATGCACTAGACATATCTGTTTTTCGAAGAGGAGTTTGGAGAAAACCACCTTATCTCCCTGGTATAGCTCCGAAACTGACGCTGGAGCCATCTGACGCCGGTTGGATGGAAGCCTGTTTTCACCGAAATCGCTGTAAACTTATGTGAAGATTCCATACAACATTTTTCAGCGAGTATGTTATTCATATCGAGCACTGTTACCATTTACTATATCGAGGACAATGATTAGGTTTGGTATTAAATAGTGTCCTCCCAAAAAAATTAACGCCATTTTCGAGTCAAGCTTCCGTTACAGGTATGTTTACAGCGATTTTGGTGGAAGTAGGTGCTGGATTCTGTACATCTGTTACGAAAGGCCGAATCGTGTCCTAAGTCAGTTTCAGCAAGAAGTTTTTGAGTTTTTGAAATTTGGTGGAATAGTGCCGTATATATAGGTAGTTTCGCAAAAATCGCTGCCTGCCGTAGAGAGTAATACAAACGAACAAGAGAACAAGGAAATATCCAAGTAGTTGGAGTTAAAATTCTAACACGTAGATGAGTTAAAGCTATGAAGTGCGCCAGTACCACCCTTTACAGAATGAATAAATTAAGGCGTAGAGTACGGTAACATGTAATGGTTGCAATTGCACTATTTAAATGAAATGTTTTAATTGAATCTACAGGAATGCTTCTTACCCAAATCTTTCACTCCCTTTTTACTAATCCTGACTTCGCAGCGGTAGAACTTCACTCGGAAACCGTAGGACTACAGAGGTGAACTTATAAACGTAATTAGGTTTTACTTCCGTAACCGATTGCTGCGGACGTGATTACGGAGACTACACGCATATTCGAAAAATAAGCGCGATTCCTCTTTGAAAAGAATGATTTGCTTTGATTAGTGCAGATCTATTTAACTTGGTTTATCCTTATCAGAATACATATATGCATTTTTCTGTTGATGTCAGATATGGAGGTGGACGAGGGGCCAGTCGCAACTGGAAACGGAATCAAAACGTTTGTAGATGAGGTCTGTATTAACGGTACTGCTGTTTTGAATCTTTCTTAATTGTTGTGTATTCAAGAACTTGAAGCAATTTAGGTTGAACATACAGTAAGGCAAGCCCGAGTTGCAGCGCATAGTCATGTGAAAGGCTTAGGGCTTGATCCTGTGACCAGAGAAGCTCTTCCTAACGTGAGTTTCATTAACCATTTTCTGAACGTGGATCCGAAATACCCTGTACAAAAACCTGATGCAGCTAGATTTGATGTTACGCTGTTCAAGCAGGCTTTTGCAGAAAAGTGTAATTTCTCTAACTTGGTCTATCACTAGATAGACCCTTAATTTTTCCATGCTGAAGCCCTGGTAGCGTATTTTGCAGCTCATTTTCACGAAATTCAAAAAAGCATGCCCCTTTCTGAAATTCGAAGTTGCTTCGCGTAGTCGTGGAGAGCTTTTGTGCTAAACTAATGGTTCAAGATTGTCATAAGGTGTTCATAGGCAGGGCATGATTACTTGGTTCTGCACACTCCACGTTGAATATTTCATTAATTTTTTGATTGCATAGAAATGTAATATTTGTATGAGTATTAGTAATTGTCTTTTACTCACAGGCTGGAGGGCTTGTAGGGCAAACACTTGCTCGCACCGCTGCAGGGGTGTTTGTTGATTTGGTCAAAATGAAAAATATGGCTGGGAGAGCACTACTTCTTGCAGGACCACCGGGAACAGGTAAGATTTCAGATAAGCTGACATTTGTGATAACTATAGAATAGCATGGTTCCTCTTGGCTTTACTTTTATTTTTTGAGGGGCTAGTGTGCCTTATTATCTCTTATATTGAGCCTTTTCGATCCAGGTTTTAGATCTCTGGACCCATAATGAGTAATTATTGTGAAAAGACAACATCTTTTCATGTAGTAATTTCAAAAAATACTCAATATGTAGATCTGAGAGATTGACTATGTTTTTGATTTCGTCGAATGTTTTCCATACCCTAGACTTTGCTTCATACGAACAATTGACTCTATCACTGAAGAAACAGCTGTCTGCTTTTGTATCACGCAAGTTGCAGGAAAAACTGCTATCGCTCTAGCCATCGCTCAAGAACTGGGTGACAAAGTTCCATTTTGTCCGATCGTGGCATCCGAAGTCTATTCCAGCGAAGTGAAGAAGACAGAAATTCTCATGGAAAACTTTCGCAGAGCTATAGGTAACACCTTTGATGATGGAAGTTATACTGTGTGTCCCTTTTCAAACCAACATTCTTAAAGGCTTACGTGTGAAGGAGAAAAAAGAAGTCTATGAAGGTGAAGTAACAGAGCTTACGCCTGTCGAGACGACGAATCCGCTTGGAGGATATGGTAGGTGAACTGTTTGAAGTGTTAGCTCTACTCGAAAAGCCTTGGGAGGGGACTCGTGTGTTAAACCACTTACGTTCCAAGGCATCTTTTTATGAAACAATTTTTAATTGTTTTTTGTTGTGTGTTTGTCTTGTTTTCATTGAACAACAAAACTGTTTAGGGAAAACCATTTCGCATTTAATCATCTCACTGAAGACTGCCAAGGGAAGCAAGCAGCTCAAATTGGACCCAAGTATTTATGATAGCATTCTCAAGCAGAAGGTCGAAATCGGTGACGTGATCTATATCGAAGCTAACAGTGGCGCTGTAAAGGTACATTCTAGTAATTTGAGTTCTGTGGACGCTCTTGAACTCCTTACTAATTGTGATTTTCATATTCTAATGTATTCTCGTGAACAGAAAGTGGTCATTTTCCCTTTTTCTCACTCGTTCTTCTTAAGCGTTTGGGGCGCTGTGATGTCTATGCCTCCGAGTTCGATCTTGAAGCTGATGAGTTCATCCCACTTCCCAAAGGTGACGTTCACAAGACCAAAGACTTAGTTCAGGTTGGATATTTCTTAACTTTTTTTCTAGTAATTACCCGTGAATTTGTGCTTTTGTACTAATAGGGCAAATCGTTATTTTCTTCACGAAATCCGACTTTTTTTTTCTAATGACTAGCTTGATCTTAGCTTTTTCGACCCTTCACATCAAGAATATGTGTTTGGCGGTAAATTCTTCTGCGGGATCTCACATTGTTTTATAGGATATTACCTTGCACGACCTCGATGTCGCCAACGCTCGCCCTCAAGGCCAACAAGGCAATCTTAGCTCTGTGTTTAGTCAATTGTTCAAACCCAAGAAGACCGAAATAACGGGTGAGTTGAATTTTTCTATCAATTTCGAAAGTTAAGTTCATTTTCTCCTCAATATTCACCCGGACGCAACCTTGTGCGTTATAGATAAGCTCCGCACTGAAATCAACAATGTCGTCAACGACTACATAGATCAAGTGAGTTTATTGAAACGGATTTGGTAATTACATGCTATAATGAATTGCTGTATATCAAATAATCTCTCAAGGGTAGATGGTGATATTCTTAACATATCCTTAAAGATCTTTCAGTGATTTGTGCAAAATTGCAGGGAGTAGCCGAGTTGATGCCTGGGGTGTTGTTCATTGATGAAGTACATATGTTAGATTTGGAGTGTTTCACTTATCTCCATCGAGCTCTTGAAAGTACAATCAGTCCCGTTGTAATTTTTGCCACAAATAGAGGAGTGTGCAAGATAAGGTGAGTTAACGTTATGAGTTCTGGTTTTTAAACATCTTCCGTAATTACCATGAATTTTTAAGAGGCTCGGACGAGATGTCACCTCACGGAATGCCTCGAGATCTCCTTGATAGAGTTCTGATCGTGCCAACCATTGAGTATTCTGTAGAAGAACTCAAAAAGGTGAATTGATCTTGCGTATTTTTGCACATAATAGTGGGTGTACGAAGATTATCGATATTGCGTTGCTAAAGCCATGTCCTAAAACTCTGAATTTTGTTTGCGTTTTCAGATAATCTCTATTCGAGCTGCCGCCGAACATGTAAATTTGTCACCATCTTGTTTGAAAATTGTCGCAGATCTTGCACACGAGACCTCAATGAGGTGGGTTAATCAAACCTATGAGTTCTGTATAGAGCTGATTTTTCATTCCAGGGCGGTTGCTCAACTGCTTACTCCTGCACGGATACATGCTCAAGTCAGTGGTCGCGATATTGTTGAGGTTGGCAAAAAAATTTTGCATATTCAATATTGCTGAATATTCTTTTTGCTCTCCTAGGATGATGACATCAGGGAAATCACGGAACTCTTCGTTATCAATCGACGTAATGATAATCAGTCGGCCGTTTCTGATGAGTCTGAGTCTACTGCCCACACTTAATAAAATTCGTTAAGCTTTCTCTGTTACATGTTGTTTTCTGGTTGTTGAATGATATCCACTTCATTAGTTACGATACTCATTTTTTGTTGATTATATGCTAGACAATTTTGCATAAAATTCTAATGTTTGAAGATAATAAAATTTGAAAGCGGACATTTTCAAGACACTTTGGAATTACACAAATATAGAGCAACCTTGATGAAAGGATGTTAAACCCACTAGTTGTCAGAGTTGGGCCTAACTTCCTAATCGAGTATTAACTGAAGTTTTTCATTTAGGACGTGGTGTACGAAAGCAACAGCCAAACATCTTATCGCTATTATTTGACGGAAATTATGGTCATGTAAGAAAGTTTCATGCAATTCGGTATTTAATAATATTTCCACAGTAACACCTATTTTATAAAATTCCTGAGATCTAAATGAAACAATTATTCTCCTAGATAAATAAGTTCGGTTACTTCTCTTTTTCTTTTTCTGTATGACGTGTCACGTCATGCAAAGATTTGCTGCGCCCCTTTACAGTGATCTCGGATACCTGAAATGACGATGTCCCTTGAGAACAATATAAAATCCAAATAAGAATTTTTAAAACCTTTCGTTTTGCATCGAAGTCCAGTTGTTGCTTATAAAAAATGCAGTTACGCAGCATTTCTGCGCACTCCTCAAATGTTGAGCTGGACTGCCGTATGTTTTCCACGGTACTAAATCGTGAATATATTCGTACTTCCTACAGTAGGGTCCGGACCATATCAAGTGGATCCGCTTCACACATTCGATCAAGGGGTAACGAGTGAGAGAAGTTTTTATCAAGGAGTCACTAGAACGGCAAGAGACTTTGCAACATAAGCTTACCTCAAAGCATTCTCAAGGTCGAACTGAACACCTGACAACAGTGCTGTCTGCTGGTTTAATAGAATCCTTCGATTCACAAGTCCAGGTAAACTGCGTCCCACATGCTCTACAAATACTCTTTACTAGTGCGAATAAAAACTATACATCAAGAAGATCAACTTAACTTGCAATCGATAGAGGGCAAGCGACGGATCATGATCAAGTATGCGCACAGCATCAGTCAAGCGTTCTGCCACTTAACTAATCACCATTGCTAGATCTTTTACTAGTAAGTTATTACAAAACGAAAAAAACAGTTCCAAGAAAACTTACACAAACGACATCTACTATCCAATTCCTTAGATTTTGCGTGATTTTGAGACGACATCTAGTAGAAATGGGCTTTTGGAACGTTCGAAAATTGAAGGCATCGAAATTAAAGACAAGACGTACGTGGTCTTTACCTTTCTATTCAATAAATACGCCGTGAGTTTATAGTATTTCTTCTCTATGAACAACAAGAAAAATCAACAATTATAACGGTGAGAACTTCTGAGAATTTCAAAATCATAAATCCTTAAACTTACAAAAATCATAAAACCTTGAACAAAATGCAGAATATCCGAGCGATGTTCAAAGATTTCATCCTAGCTAGCACAAAGATCGGCAGAAGTACTGTCCTCCCACAACGAGATTATTAGGCGCTTCATTGGTTTTACCATCACATCCCAAGCATGCGGAATGGCAGCGACGAAAACCGTTGGGCAAAGGCAAATTCAGACTCATTAGGACCCGACAAAGATACCCGACGCACAGTACTTCTTTAGTCTAACCGTCTGCTGACTTAATTATACGCTAACCGAAAAGCTGACGGCAATGTAATGAGCGTCGCCCTGTAAGCCGACAAAAATACTTTTCTGCTTCTACTACACACATTTATTTTCTGTTCGTTGGGACCACGCTCCACTGAAGTAGCCATGCAGGGATTCGGGCCGAATAAGATAGAACAGCCTTATAATATCGTTGAGGAAAAGATCAAAGTGGATGAATAATGTTGAGGTTCGAAACGAGAGTCCTATACCACTACTAGTACTACTAAAGCAGGTCAACCTTATGACTTTTCGGCTTCAGCTTCTTGAGAAGTTGTCTGCGCAATGATCTCGGCATTTTGAGCAGCCTTTTTCTCCCAATTGAGACGATTTTCGAAAAAGCTCAACTTTTCTTCATGGTGTTCGAGCTCAGCAAGTTCTTTTGCGATTTCTTCCGCACGCACCTGAAAGCGAGTGGTGAGTCTCCTATATCAACTAATATCTAGAATAGATAGAGAAATACCTTCAATAAAAGTCGGTCAGCTTGTGCTTTTATCAAATCCTGCCGCCGCTTATGCCACTTTGTGAATTCTTCTTTTTGTTGAGTTGCCAGAGCTTCCTCCTCCTTTTCCTTGACCTGGAACTTTTCTGTTTCTTGGAGAGAACGTAGAAGACATTCGGTTCGTGATTGGAATAATATTCACTCACGCTTTCCAAAATATCCAAGATGGCTGAACTGAATGAGCTTTCTGATGGTTTGCAACCTTCCAACTTGTCAAGTATCACCTTTTGTTGTTCCGACGGTTCCTCCCCTTCTGCCGGTGTGAACCTCTGTCGAATGATCTCCGCTACCCCACCATGAGTGGAGGATGAAGCTAATGTCGACGCCAAATCTAGCCTGAAATTTTTTAACTGAACAATATTGACCATAGGCAACTTCGGCCATCAGGGAAAATTGAAGCAGTAACTGGAGATCTACGTCTGCACAATTTTGTTGTGGACCAGCTAGGTCTTTCAGTCTAAACAGCAATCTGTCCTTCTACTAGAGCGTCCATCTTAGGCAGGACACAGTGCCTTCGATCCTCATCTTCCTAGCGCCGCACCAAGCAATGAATTCGATTCCATCGTACATGGTGTGATCCTACCAACTGCCTTTTCGAAAATGTTGGTAATTTCTGCAGCAGCTCAACTGGCAGAATTTTCTGTTAAACCTGTTTTTATACCTACAGATACTAGCAGGTAAATGAACCATACCTGTTATATAAAACGGCTCCAAGAAGTCTCAGAGATTGTCTTATTGGTTCGGTCAATGCACGAGAATCACGTGCTACCCATAGCAACGTCTTGCCCGCAAGTTGGTGCGGATCGGTGAGATCGAAATGAGAATCGAAGTAAGCATTCTTCAGATACGGAAATTTGAATGTTCTCTGGAACAACGGGGCTTCAGAACTTATAAAATGACCAGCTCAAAGGATTAAATCAAATCTAACGTTAAAATAACTAAATGATAACATAAAAATGGATCAGGCTATAAAGACGCACAATATCGTCATCGTTGACTTCCTCCTCTTCAACTTCTGTAAGTGGCATGGTCTGCTCTTCAGCAGGAAGCTCCGCCCATTTTGTGCACGAATAGAGAACTAAACTGAATACAGCTTTTCATTTCAAATACTTGAGTCGGTAGGCGATAACTGTTTCCAGGGCTTCTATTCTATTGGTTCTCGCGACAACTAACAAACAGCAACAAATAAATGAAAGAGTAAAGGAGGGAGGACAGACAGGTGTACCACAGTCAACTCATACTTCAAAAAAACCAAACCGACCGACTGTGAACAAATAAAGAAGACCATGTAAAAGATTATAATGGCTGCGAAAAAGCAACCAAACCCGAAAATAGCTGTTTTCAAAACCAGGATTCAAAATCTTACCCAAAAGATTCAACAGCTCGTTTTCAGTCATTTCCTGTTGCATTACCCATGCAGCCAATCGAGCGGCACCTTAACAGACGTCATCTACAATTGTAACCGGTAAGCAAAAACTACAATACCTCTAAAGTCATTCCGTTTGATGAAATGGTCGATTGCTAAACAAGCGGCATGCTCGTTCATAAAAATCCCGTAGTTGATCTAGAGAACACCTAATAGGATGAAAAATCCAAGGTATAAGAACAAAACAGAGAAATGAAACTCACCGGGTCATCAGCCAACTTGAACAAAAAGGATGGATCGTGTTGAAGTAAAAGTCGAATGAGTGCATATTCCGCAGAAGGTGGGAGGTCAGCTGCGTTCTCGCTATGTCGCAACTTGTACAGCAATTCGACCACATCATCCACCTGGAAATTATGTTTCAAATAAAAACCACTCTCGCTGTTTTAAAATCTACATGTGGCGGGAAACAGAGATGAAAAAGAAAATGAGAATAAGTTGCAGCTAGAACAATGAAGAAATAAACGGCTCCTATAGTTTCTAGCCGAACAGTTTTGGGACAAACCAAAGATCGCGACGGCTGGAGTAACCAGGTGGTAAAAGAACGGAAAATAAGACTGTGAAGGATGATTGCAAGTGAAACTAGAATGATTCATCTAAACGAGTAACGTAATTCACAGCGCGACTCAAAAAACCATTTCGTCAAATATAAAAATTATTGTACCTGATCTTTTTGCTCAGCAACACAGACAGCTGCGTCAACGTCGATGGCACTAGAATTGCAATCACTAAGGAAGGAGTAGCTGACAAACTTATGTTATGGTTTGTTGTACACAGCCGACGCAGAAGACAAGGGCCGAAAATGATTGATATGATTTGAACTTGGAAAGTGCATAGGTAAATACCGTGCAGCTCGCGTATCGCAGTCTAATCATTGTGCATTTGTTTCCATGATAGAATTCTACAAATATCTGAGTTCAGTCGGAGGCCGCGCAGACGGGAGTAGAATTACTGCTTAGAATTTGGAAAAAACCTTCAGACAAGATTAAAGAATGCAAACTGGGCTCTTCGGTTACAGACTAAGACAGCTTCGGTCATAACTTTTCATCTCTAGGAGGCAACAATGAACTAATTAAGGAAACGACACTTGAGCAAAGCGGAGAGACAGCCGAACATGAATGACTACTTAACAATTAAACGTTAAAAGTGTCCTAATTACGCTCTAACTAGCATCTTTTTCTCATTTCTTGGACTAAAAATCTTTCTAGCAATGTTCTCAAGACCCATTTTTTCTCTATCTTCAATAAGCTGCGTGTCCAATTTATGACAGGATTTTATCGAGCAGTTATTCCCTTATTAGAGCCACATAAGCTAGAGTCAGTTGGACGCTATTCAAAGATTGAATTTTAAAAGAGCCTAATAGAATCATAGCAGACTAGGAAGTTATTTATACAAAAGCTCACTCACCTTGCTATACCGCCTCCAGTAAACTTCTTTTGTACAGCACTTATCCATTCATAATCACCTCCTAATCCTAATTTGGTCATCTCAACATGCCGAGATGCCCATTCCTTAATTAATACAATGGAGAACAGTAGAAAAAAATGTAGTTGTAAATTTTAAATTTCCCACTTTCTCCAAAGAAAACGCTTCTGAGAGCAAATATCGCCTTCCGAAAGACTTCGATAAACGAGACGCTACTGACGCTATCCTTGACGTCCACATGAGCTAGACAAACGGATTGTTCAAAATAGGAAATAAGCATTGAAATACAAATGTAATAAGTATAAAAACACGACAGTAAAATGTAGATATGAGAAGTTCGCAAACTTAACTGCTCCAGAGAAGAACACAAAGAACTTGAATTATGTTCATTCGACAACGTTTATCCTGCATGCAAACGAGACAAATTGTGAAAAAGAATAACAAAAAATACTTTACAAGTGACATTATACATGTAGAAAGAAATGAACATTACTTACTTCAACATGAAACGGATGAGAGTAAAATGGTAACACAGCAATTTACATAGCATTCTGAACCAGAAAATATATTTGTTACCGGTAACTTTTAGCTTTAAGTAACTCAATTAATTATGGCGAGTATCTGTCACTTCTCATATAAAACAGTGCGGACAAGTTTTCGCGTCTGCAACCGGTAGCAACCGTCCGCACACTTCTTGTAAGAAAATCTAAACAAAAATCTTACTTGAAAATGGCGAAGAGAGGGCATACCATAACTCTTTTGAGCATCCACAAACGTTTTCGAAAAGTAGCATCTAATGACTAATGTAAGTCTTTTAGGGCCTAATAGATGCGAGATTTGACAGGAAATGAGAAAATTTTTATTTGTTCCATTCAGTTCATCACCTTATTCCTTTTTGTAAAGGACTGCAAAACGAGGATCAGTGAATAAGAATCTAAAAAGACTATGAACAAAGACGCTATGATTCAACTTACAGTTCTTATCAGTGTTCTGTTCTAATGAGGAATTATTCAAGAAATTAATGGTCATTGGCAACTGGCAAACCTGCTGAACCCTTCAGGAATTGGACACTCATGCTTTCGGGATAAATGACGTGTGAGCCCATGTCCTGTGGCATAGGTGGAGTCACATATATGACAGAGATATGGTTGTTTTAATGCAGTCTGAAAATAATTTACTCAAACCAAGTTCCGTCGTGTATGTTGTCAATGCGTCACAGATCTGTGGACAGGATACGTAGAGGACGTCTAGAGCTTACCTCTGAGTGGGTGATCATATGCTTATCCAACTGCTTCTTCCATCGGAAACGCTCATCACACTGTGGACATTTCTCCTTAGGTGGAGCATGGACAGCACTGTGCCGGACTAGATCCGTCTAAAGATAAGATTCATAATATTTTCTAAGTTCACCTTCTTTTCAATTTTGCGGGGATCACATTCTATTGTCGCTTTTCTTATGCTGTAAACCAGCTCATTACATTGGGAATATTGTACGCAACACTTTAAACCGTCGGAATTAGCTGGTAATTGTTCGGAGAGCACGACTTGGTAATTAGTCGACTAACTCCCCTATACTATACTTCGCTAATTTCTACGATTTCAAAGAATCACCCTCTGCATTCAACTCTGCTACTAAACAGCCCTGGTGGACTTGAGAAAAGTTGGATCAAACTTTGGGATACAATTTCGCCTCAACATGTGGTCTCAACCATTGTCTTTTGAACAGAAAAAAGTTTTGACAAATCAACGTACTGTACAATAGAAGCTTTTTTCACAGTCCGGGCAAGTCAATGTTTTTATTCTTTCGGTGTGCTTAACCAGTATATGCCTAAATTTGAAAGTCTAGTGAGCTGGAAGGAAATTTATATGACGGATGAAGACCTGTGCAAATCGGACGGTAGCTGAACAGCTAATCCACATGTAGGGCACTGGCGGCCATTAATATGGCGCCGCACATGGTTTACCAATGATCGCTCATCTCCAAAACGACGCTGACATAAGAGGCAAAGCTGAAAACTGTAGAATTCTCTGAGGTACTAAAATGTTCAGGCTGTATGCATGTAAATATCCTACTCTTCAATTACTTTCTTCCGCTCATGATAGTGAAGCAGAAAACTTCGCTATCTGACGAGCTTATGACTTATATAACGGATGCTATCATACATCAAGAAGGGATCCAAAAGTGATGAGAGCGGTGATTGAGCTGTGACGGTCCCTAGCCCGTCATAAGCCATTCTACCTCTTAATTTTATATATCCACATTTCTACATTTCACACATGTTGCAGACTACGACTTTTCTACAAATTCCAGCAGATAACCCCTTCAATGTACCCCTTCCTTTACATACCCTTCCCTTCAATGGTTCCTGGATGTCCCTTGAATTAGAAGCTAAATACTGAGCAATGCTAATCTACAATGCAGGAAACATACGTGTTCGTTTTCTGCGCCCTCTGGAATAGGTGCCCGTTTGCGAAGATGTTCATACAGTTTATCAGGTCTCGAGAAGAATCGTCCACAAAACGGACATGCACAATACTTTTCTCCGCTGTGATGGCGAACATGTTTTCTGAAAATGAACGACGAAACAATACAAAAAAGTGTGTTCGTCGGCAGATCCCCCCCCCCCCCCCCCCCCCTCCACAAAAACTTGTATTCTAATGAGCTAGCCCATAATCTTCACGAGATATAATTTTTAAACATCAAAAAAAACCACGAGCCTCAAATCCCCTTTGTTTTCAAATTGTCGGTAGCAATTTTCCCATAGACATCTATGTTGTGGGCGTGTCCATTCCTCATCACAAACGCGATCGTCGCTACTGAGGAAATCGACGTGTGTCATCACATGGTTGAATAAATGCAAAGGATCTGAGAAATGATCCTGAAAACATTTCATCAAATTTATAAGTAAAAGGTCCCAATTATTTTGGTAGGGAGGAAATTTTAGTGAAGAGACGCCGAACCGAAATCTTCTTGGAGCAATTGGTTAAGTGATTTAATTATCTAACATCGTTTGTTAATTTAAATGACAGTGGGAGATAGAAAGACTTGAAGCCCAACTTACATGACAATTATCCCAAAGACAATAAGTTATGTCGCCCGAGTAGGTAATATCCAACGTAGATGAAAAGCCGCAACTGAACGTTCAATGATCAACATCAGAAGGGCAGTAATAAGCAGACTGAACATGCACCTTACTATATTTTTGAAATCTGCTTTCGACCCGATAATCATCAGTCCAACGAATTGGGCATGGGCATGGAACTGATGCATGGCAAGATGGCGCTTCAAGTCAACTGCAGCGTTGGCTACATGCTGACAAGTGCCAACTGGACAAGGCCATGGGCTGTTGTCTTAAGCAATATAATAAGCGAAACTGCGTTGATCACCACACCAACGCCGAATGTATTCAATTTTCGGATAAATGTGAGTATATCATATACGATTGTTACACAGCCTCATGGTATCATCGAAACTCCATGGCATCACCAAAAGGAAGCGTTAGAAGAGCACGATAATTTAGAGCCCCAGCCGAGCATAGAAAGGTTAACTGCCATCTGCGGATGGCAATTGTTCGAAAAAAAAATTTAGAAGTTAAGATAAAGAGAGACGTTGAGAGAAGATGCAAAGCTAGTGAAAAAGCGAAAATGCAAAGTGAAAAGCCAAAAACTACTTACAAAATTCCTGCCGACTACTAGCATACTGATTGAGATGAACATCAAAATGAGCAGATAGTTCATCTTTACTATCCATGAGATAGCGACAATCACCCCACATACAAATGAAGCGAACTGAAATATCCTACTTTATATAATTCGCTAAGTGTGTCTGTTGGTGTGTCGGTGTGTTTGTGTGTTTGTGTGTGTGTGTGTGTGTGT